GGTATTTACACATGAATATTATCACCCATACCAATTCCGCGGCTAAAGAAATCAACATTTCACTAGTAGCCCTGTAGAATAGAAATATACATTTATATTATTTACTTGTTTATAAGACAACGTTTCGCTAGTATAGAAATATACATTTCTATTATTTACTTGTTTATAAGACAACATTTCGCAGTAGCCCCGTAGAATAGAAATATACATTTCTATTATTTACTTGTTTATAAGACAACGTTTAGCTAGTATAGATATATACATTTCTATTATTTACTTGTTTATAAGACAACATTTCGCAGTAGCCCCGTAGAATAGAAATATACTTTTCTATTATTTACTTGTTTACATTTCTATTATTTACTTGTTTATAAAGTAACATTTCGCTAGCAGTCCCGTAGAGTAGAAATATACATTTCTATTACTTATTTATAACGAAATCAACATTTCGTTAATAGCAACAGAAATAGAGGAACCTAGATTCGAGTAATAAAACCTCTACCTACGTCGTACGTCCTACCATAGCCAACTTTCCACTGCTCTTATCAAATAAATTTATTGTAGGACTGGGCCTGGAATCCGGCGAGCAACACCTCGGCCAGAAAGGTTCGTTACAATTGGCGCCCGAGCAGGGACAGTGGAAACAGATACCAGTTAACATCGTCATTTTCTTTTACCATGGGACAGTATTCTTATCTCCAGACAGTTGAACAAGTCGAGAAATGGTGTGTTAAATTTAATGGTAGTAAGAACCCGTTGGGCTTTATCGAAAACATTGAAGAACTTGCAGACATGTATGGCATCGTCATAAATCTAGTTTCCAAGATAATGCCTATACTGCTCGAAGATAAAGCACTAATGTGGTATCGCTGCAACAATAAGCATTGGCAGCTATGGACAAGTTTTAAGGCCGATTTCCTAAATTTCTTTTTGCCACCTAGATATTATGAAAAATTAGCAGATGAAATAGGATCTCGACGTCAAAGGCCACCAGAAAGCTTTAAGGGTTATTTAATTATCATTAAAGATCTGATGCGACATGCTGGCATGGATCAAAATTCGCAACTAGAACGAATATATCACAACATGGTCACTAACTGCCAAAAGTATATCAAACGTCAAGATTTCGAGACTTTAGAAGAACTAATTTTACTAACCGATGTATTCGAAGCACTTGGCACAGAGCAGGTTAAAACATGTCGAAGCGATGGTCAAGAAGAAGCGCTCATCAGGCTCACAGTAGTCGAGTATTCACAAGTGATCCCGTTACAGAAACCCATTAAATGATCCCCGCAGTCTAAATATCGAGTCACATTCCAAATCAAGCACATCAATGCAAAGCACACAAGGTCAGATTTATCCAGAGCAACATCCTCAATATTCTCAATCAAAAGAAAGGATTCATGCCCAAGCACATGAAGTACAATATCAGCAAGATCTGCAACGCAAAGAAAGTCTGCAAGTTGTTAATCGGATTTACAATACGCAAGATCAAGTAAAATTACAATTGCAAGTACAAGACATAGAACCACAACGAGATCCACAGTTGCGCGTAGAACAACCGATTATACTCTCGACTAAATTAGTGGCAACCTCATCACTTCCCGTACCTCAAGGACAAGCACTAGCAGAGACTTCGCTAATACTACGTTCGCAGAAACAAGATACTCCAGCGCAACAAGGACAAGAATATGATATGAGTATGGAAACCATTACCAGACAAGTTAAGGTGGTTGACGAAACACCAAGTACTAGCCAATCATCGCATCAACTATCAGAAACTCGTACAGAAAAGGTTTTGGAAAAACGCATCAGCCCACCAGAACAGCTATCACAGCCACATCCAAGAAAACTTGATTGTATGCACCAGAATGACAAAGTAAACAGCGCTCCGAATCAAATTAGAGAATGGTGTCTTGGAATTCAGAATTCTGGTAGCATAGCCATGAATGTAGTCCAAGACAAGTTCTTTAAAATCTTCAAAAATCCAAGGAAACGAACAAGGAATCATTCGACGAGGTAATCAGAGTTCGTCAACTCTATGAAAAAATCGGGGAAGTGTAACATAAAATTTATGGCTCTTAAATTTTACAAGACAAAATATAATAAAACACTAACAAAATTGATATTGGAGATGGTATTAAAACCCACCTCCAAATTTAATACAAAATAAAATCAGAACAATAATAAAAACTTGTAAACAACACACCGTTGTAGTTACAAGAACAAAACTACAGTATGCTTCGCACCTCGCGGATATAAAAGGCGAAGCAAAAGCACAAGAGAGACATTCAGCGAGGTATCGAGCTAAAGAGAAGTCGCTTCAAAACATATGTGCTGAAACATCAAGAATCGAAATTTACATCTCGATTCCCATTTTTTTTTATATAATAGAAATACACATTTCTATTACAATAACTTTTAATAACGAAATTAACATTTCGTTAGTAGTAAGAGAAATATACATTTCTGTTACTTATTTGTTCATAACGAAATCAAATTTTCGTTAATAGAATAATCGGTAAGGTGGTATTTACACATGAATATTATCACCCATACCAAATCCGCGGCTAAAGAAATCAACATTTCACTAGTAGCCCCGTAGAATAGAAATATACATTTATATTATTTACTTGTTTATAAGACAACGTTTAGCTAGTATAGAAATATACATTTCTATTATTTACTTGTTTATAAGACAACATTTCGCAGTAGCCCCGTAGAATAGAAATATACTTTTCTATTATTTACTTGTTTACATTTCTATTATTTACTTGTTTATAAAGTAACATTTCGCTAGCAGTCCCATAGAATAGAAATATACATTTCTATTACTTATTGATAACGAAATCAACATTTCGTTAATAGCAACAGAAATAGAGGAACCTAGATTCGAGTAATAAAACCTCTACCTACGTCGTACGTCCTACCATAGCCAACTTTTCACTGCTCTTATCAAATAAATTTATTGTAGGACTGGACCTGGAATCCGGCGAGCAACACCTCGCCCAGAAAGGTTCGTTACAATTGGCGCCCGAGCAGGGACAGTGGAAACAGATACCAGTTAACATCGTCATTTTCTTTTACCATGGGACAGTATTCTTATCTCCAGACAGTTGAACAAGTCGAGAAATGGTGTGTTAAATTTAATGGTAGTAAGAACCCGTTGGGCTTTAACGAAAACATTGAAGAACTTGCAGACATCTATGGCATCGTCATAAATCTAGTTTCCAAGATAATGCCTATACTGCTCGAAGATAAAGCACTAATGTGGTATCGCTACAACAATAAGCATTGGCAGCTATGGACAAGTTTTAAGGCCGATTTCCTAAATTTCTTTTTGCCACCTAGATATTATGAAAAATTAGCAGATGAAATAGGATCTCGACGTCAAAGGCCACCAGAAAGCTTTAAGGGTTATTTAATTATCATTAAAGATCTGATGCGACATGCTGGCATGGATCAAAATTCGCAACTAGAACGAATATATCACAACATGGTCACTAACTGCCAAAAGTATATCAAACGTCAAGATTTCGAGACTTTAGAAGAACTAATTTTACTAACCGATGTATTCGAAGCACTTGGCACAGAGCAGGTTAAAACATGTCGAAGCGATGGTCAAGAAGAAGCGCTCATCAGGCTCACAGTAGTCGAGTATTCACAAGTGATCCCGTTACAGAAACCCATTAAATGATCCCCGCAGTCTAAATATCGAGTCACATTCCAAATCAAGCACATCAATGCAAAGCACACAAGGTCAGATTTATCCAGAGCAACATCCTCAATATTCTCAATCAAAAGAAAGGATTCATGCCCAAGCACATGAAGTACAATATCAGCAAGATCTGCAACGCAAAGAAAGTCTGCAAGTTGTTAATCGGATTTACAATACGCAAGATCAAGTAAAATTACAATTGCAAGTACAAGACATAGAACCACAACGAGATCCACAGTTGCGCGTAGAACAACCGATTATACTCTCGACTAAATTAGTGGCAACCTCATCACTTCCCGTACCTCAAGGACAAGCACTAGCAGAGACTTCGCTAATACTACGTTCGCAGAAACAAGATACTCCAGCGCAACAAGGACAAGAATATGATATGAGTATGGAAACCATTACCAGACAAGTTAAGGTGGTTGACGAAACACCAAGTACTAGCCAATCATCGCATCAACTATCAGAAACTCGTACAGAAAAGGTTTTGGAAAAACGCATCAGCCCACCAGAACAGCTATCACAGCCACATCCAAGAAAACTTGATTGTATGCACCAGAATGACAAAGTAAACAGCGCTCCGAATCAAATTAGAGAATGGTGTCTTGGAATTCAGAATTCTGGTAGCATAGCCATGAATGTAGTCCAAGACAAGTTCTTTAAAATCTTCAAAAATCCAAGGAAACGAACAAGGAATCATTCGACGAGGTAATCAGAGTTCGTCAACTCTATGGAAAAATCGGGGAAGTGTAACATAAAATTTATGGCTCTTAAATTTTACAAGACAAAATATAATAAAACACTAACAAAATTGATATTGGAGATGGTATTAAAACCCACCTCCAAATTTAATACAAAATAAAATCAGAACAATAATAAAAACTTGTAAACAACACACCGTTGTAGTTACAAGAACAAAACTACAGTATGCTTCGCACCTCGCGGATATAAAAGGCGAAGCAAAAGCACAAGAGAGACATTCAGCGAGGTATCGAGCTAAAGAGAAGTCGCTTCAAAACATATGTGCTGAAACATCAAGAATCGAAATTTACATCTCGATTCCCATTTTTTTTTATATAATAGAAATACACATTTCTATTACAATAACTTTTAATAACGAAATTAACATTTCGTTAGTAGTAAGAGAAATATACATTTCTGTTACTTATTTGTTCATAACGAAATCAAATTTTCGTTAATAGAATAATCGGTAAGGTGGTATTTACACATGAATATTATCACCCATACCAAATCCGCGGCTAAAGAAATCAACATTTCACTAGTAGCCCTGTAGAATAGAAATATACATTTATATTATTTACTTGTTTATAAGACAACATTTCGCAGTAACCCCGTAGAATAGAAATATACATTTCTATTATTTACTTGTTTATAAATACAAAGGAGATTTCACTAGTAGCCCCGTAGAATAGAAATATACATTTATATTATTTACTTGTTTATAAGACAACGTTTCGCTAGTATAGAAATATACATTTCTATTATTTACTTGTTTATAAGACAACATTTCGCAGTAGCCCCGTAGAATAGAAATATACATTTCTATTATTTACTTGTTTATAAGACAACGTTTAGCTAGTATAGAAATATACATTTCTATTATTTACTTGTTTATAAGACAACATTTCGCAGTAGCCCCGTAGAATAGAAATATACTTTTCTATTATTTACTTGTTTACATTTCTATTATTTACTTGTTTATAAAGTAACATTTCGCTAGCAGTCCCATAGAATAGAAATATACATTTCTATTACTTATTGATAACGAAATCAACATTTCGTTAATAGCAACAGAAATAGAGGAACCTAGATTCGAGTAATAAAACCTCTACCTACGTCGTACGTCCTACCATAGCCAACTTTTCACTGCTCTTATCAAATAAATTTATTGTAGGACTGGACCTGGAATCCGGCGAGCAACACCTCAGCCAGAAAGGTTCGTTACAATTGGCGCCCGAGCAGGGACAGTGGAAACAGATACCAGTTAACATCGTCATTTTCTTTTACCATGGGACAGTATTCTTATCTCC